GCTCCGCCCACCGTGCATCAGACCCACTTTACCACCGCGCAGCTAGAGCAGCAAAGATGCTTCAGCCGCTGTCAGAACCAAACTGCTACAAGCATCTAAAATGCAGCAGGCGGCGCGTTTTTGCTGCTCTTGATGGGTGCGGTCTGAATGTAGCATAAGTCCTGAGAACAAAATGTCATCTGGATGAAGGAAGCGCTGCCTAGATGCAACAGATGGACTCACTTCACAAACAGACACTCCTCCTTGTGGATGTAGATGGTGACTCCGCTGCCGGAATCCAGGTGTCGACCAATGACTGTCAGCCTGGTTCCTCCAGAAACGGGCCCCTTCAGCGGACGGATCCGGGTAAAACTTGGGCTCTGAGGGCGGAAACCAAAGCAGAACTTAAAGTTTCACTTTTAACCATTGAGCAAATTATCCTCTACAAAGAAAAACACAATTTAAAGATTTTTTGATTGTTTGTTTTGTAGAAAAAGATCCTGGATCAGTCCCATCTCCTCTCTGTGCCAGGTTCCGGGTTTTTTGAGCTTTGATCCAGAGAAGTTCTTGTACCACATGTCTACGTACCGTTACAGCGGACATGAAGGAAACCGGGCCGAGACGGTACCATCCAGGCTCTGGTAAAAGTCCTAACTGTGTGTCACTAGTACTTCATCACTCTCAAAGGCTGGTTATCAACCCGCAGCAGTGTGTCGCAGTTAGGTTTTTGCAGGTATGCTGCAGATATTTTTGATTTATGCCCAATATTGAAGCGTGGTCGTCGTTTTTTGACAAACTTGTTCGCCGTCTACAACGCCTCATCCAACGCCGGGCGACATGTCACTACGCGATCTGTCCTGGAAAAACGATCCGTCCTGCGCATGCGCGAAAGATATACATCCGGGTTTCCATAAATAATGTAATTATGGTAATAAAATTACTTATTTATATATTTAACTCACTGAAGAACGCTAATGCACAACTTTAAAAAAATGTTTAATGACTTTTCTGAGACAATTTTGATGTTTTTCACATTTTCTCCGTTAAACAGCTTCTCTGATGTCATCATGGGACATGCTCGGAGCAGTCCAGCAAAATCTGATTAAACCGCGTTTATCTGCATTTTAGTTCTTTCTTTCTTCAGATTATGCACTATATAGCATAATGTTAATGCAAAAGGAAAAAATTAAACTCAAAAAGACTAGATTTATGTTTAAATCCGAAGCAAACAAAGTTAGCTCCTGGAAGTATCGTGCGATCCCATTTTTTCGTGCAGATCGA